GGCTCCTACTCACGTTGGGGACGAAGCCTGGCTCCACCTGCTTCCCGCACACGTCGCTCCACACCACACCAGACAGGTAGGCTGAGGTCTGCACATCAGCCAGGCAGGAGAAGCGATGCTCGGGGTTCACTGTCAGCAGCTGGGGAGACAAAAGTGTTCCCGTCAGAGGAGAAAGCCAAGGAGCCCAGCAGCACCTGCCTTTGGATGCCATCAGGTAGTCTGGCCACTCAGCATCCTTTCTGTCTCAGCAAATAGGTAGCAGGCTACAGAAAAAAAACAACCAAAAACATATTAGGAAAATGTTCATAGAACCATAAAACTATTCAGGCTGGAAAAGCCCCTTGGGATCACCGAGTCCAACCATAATCCCTACTCTACAAAGTTCTCCCCTAAACCATCTCCACCAACACCACATCCAAACAACCCTTAAACACACTCAGGGATGGTGACTCAACCCCCTCCCTGGGCAGCCTATTCCACTTTCTCTGTGAAGAAATTTTTCCTAATGTCCAGTCTAAACCTCCCCTGTTGCAGCTTGAAACCATTCCCTCTTGTTCAGGAGGCTGTGAAACCAGAGAGCCAACAGTCCCTGTGGGGGCAGATGTGTGGGCCGGTGCCGCCAGCCCAGCTGATGGCAACGCCAACACGCCGAGAGCACATCAGAAGGTACCACCAGAGCCTGCTCCTCATGGACACAGAATCTGATCATGCCAGTTGTCCACCCAACATTAACTTACACCCGAGTCACAGAATCACAGAACTGTCAGAGTTGTTAGAGCTGGAAGGGACCTCTAGAGATCATCTAGTCCAACCCTCCCACTGAAGCAGGATGACCCAGAGCACTTTACCCAGGGCTGCATCCAGGGGTCTGGAATATCTCCAGAGGTGGAGACTCCACAAGCCCCTGGGCAGCCTTGTCACTCTCACCGTAAAGAAGTTTTTCCTTGTATTTAAATGGAACTTCCCATGTTCCAGCTTGTGCCCATTGCCCCTTGTTCTGACACTGGGAAGAGCCTGTGTCCATCTTCCTTGCACCCACCCTTAGATACTTGTATACATTGGTAAGGTCTCCACTCAGCCTTCTCATCTCCAGGCTACATAGTCCCAGCTCCTTCAGCCTTTCCTCAGCAGGGAGATGCTCCAATCCCCCAGTCATCTTTGTCACCCTCCTCTGGACTCTCCCCAGCAGTTCCCTGTCTCTCCTGAGCTGTGGAGCCCAGAACTGGATGCAGGTCTCCAGCAGTGGCCTCACCAGGGCAGAGCAGAGGGGGAGAATGACCTCCCTTGACCTACTGGCCACTCTTTTCTTCATGCACCCCAGGATTCCATTGGCCTTCTTGGCAACAAGGGCACCCAAGAGTCACTCACTCGCTGTCAGCACCCTGTGTATATTTCCAGAACACACTCACCAGCTCCTTTCCTGAGCTCCCAAGCTAACAGCTTCCATACCAACCCAACAGTGTTCCCATGGGCAGCACTAGGAGAGCTGCAGACTATATCATGGATAGGAACCCCCTGGCAGTTCGCACAGCCCAACACATCAAATCTACCCTTTGGCCCAACAGTGGATCTCATTGTCACACCAAACTCAGCCTCTCCCCCTCCCTTGCTATCAAACATAACACATCTTCATACAGGGATCACGAATACAAAAACCACAACAGCGCTTACGGCTGAACCAAGTCATAACAATTAGCCCTATTTCAATTTTACATCCTTTATAACTATGCTGAGAATTTTCCAGCTGGTCCTGCACACCCTGAGGTGATGCTCAGTGTGAACCAGCAGGACTACTCACCTTCCTTAACAGAGACACCATCTCTTTTGACCACGCAGACGAGTACTGAACGCTGACAGTGCTGAAGAGCTGAACCAACGACTCCACGGGGTTGCTGGAGTGGATGTCATACGGCCTCTGTGGGGGAAAATGGGGAGGTGAGATGGAACCCCCTTCCCCTCTGCAGTCACCCCAACAGCACGTCCTGAGAGCCCGGCTGACCCGGGAGACCTACCCAGCCCCGCAGCAGCTCGTAAGCCATGATGCCCAGTGACCACCAGTCAACCTCAAAGGAGTAGCCTGTCCCGCCGTTCAGGAAGGAGTGGAAAATCTCTGGGGCTGAACAGAAAGGGCAAAACACAACAGGTTATTTGCTGACTTCAGTTTGTCATTTTGCAGTGCTCCACCTAAGTCAGTATGTAAAGCTGACACTTATTTTTGTGAGTGTCACAGAACCACAGCATGACAGGGGTTGGAAGGGACCTTCAAAGATGATCGAGTCCAATCCCCCTGCCAGAGCAGGACAAATCAGCAACAAAAAAACAAACCAAACAAAAAAACCAAACCAACAAACAAAACAACACCACACAAACACACCAGCTAGGGCAGACCACTCAGAAAGGCATCCAGACAGGTCTTGAAAGTCTCCAGAGAAGGAGATTCCACCTCTCTGGGCAGCCTGTTCCAGTGCTCTGTCACCCTCACAGGGAAGAAGTTCTTCCTCATGGTGAGGTGGAACTTCCTGGGCTGGTGTTTGAGTCCATTGCCCCTTGTCCTGTCCCAGGGCACAAGTAACAAGAGCTTGTCCTCGCCTTCTTAATGCCCTCATGTATTTATAGACATTAATTAGATCCCCCCTCAGTTTTCTCCTTTCCAGGTCCCAGGTCTCTCAGCCTTTCCTCATCAGGCAGGTGTTCCAGTCCCTTCATCATCCTCGTAGCCTCCACCGGACTCTCTCCAGTAGATCCCTGTCCCTCTGGAGCTGGGGAGCCCAGCGTCTGCCCAAGGGAGGCTTTGCAAGGCAGGGTGAGCTGCAGCCCAGCAGCACCACACCTGCACACCACACCAGGGACACAGCCCGTCCCAGCGAGGGGCCAGCGGGGAGGCAGGAAGGGATGGGAGGTGACAGAGGGATCCCCCCTCTGCAGGATCACTTCTCCAGCAACCCCACTGCATGACTTGGGCACATGCACTAATGTGCTGAATGAATTCAGACACGGGCTGTCAGGCGGCCTGCAGTGAGCACACTGAAATGTGAAGCACAGCAGTAAGAAACTGCTGTTATTTCTTACCCATGTATGGCTTTGTTCCAGCTAATGCAGTTGCTCTTTCACCGTCCCTAATTATTGTTGCAATATTAAAATCTGTCAAATGTGCATGACCTTAAAAAAAAGACACATGTTAAGAAGGAATTAATTGCAGCACAGAACAGTGGCAATGCAGTCAGAATACATTGGTTTCACTGGCTTCTGCTCTTGGACATGCAGCTCGGGCACAGGCAGGGCAGGGCCAGACCCCACCAGACAGCTGCTATGGATCCTGGGGCTCTCCCAGGATCTCAGGCTGCCCTGAGATTGAATGGGAGCTACCTTTGGGTCTGGATTTTAATGCACACTTGGAGCAAACTAGTAACCTAGATTTGCTCCAGCACCTGGTCAAATTGCTCTAGCCAAAACTGACAGCCAGTGAAGAAGACAACAGGAAAACACTATATTAGGATAATGCCTTGGTCTTACTGAGCAGCCTTTGAGGAAAGCCTTGAACTGCAACTGCCCCCCAGGCCTGGAGCTAAAACACTCTGTTGTCACTCCACACAGACCACAGCAAATGAGACCTGTCAGCTGAATGAAACTCTAACTACACCTCTCAAACTCTGCACAAAGAAACCTTTCAGCTATTTCAAAAAGTGCTGGAACACTTCCTCTCAGTTTGTCCTTTCCCTGTCATCAGGACTGAAGGTTAATATTCAGCAAAGGTCATTATTTTCAAGCCACCCTGGCATCCAGCGCCCACCCACCTGCACTTCTGAAGGCTACTCTCTCTACCTACAAGGCAGCAATGAAAGTGGTGTGTAAATGACAGGCTGCCTTGTCCTCTCCTGCATGTCCTTTGTTCCATTTGTGTTTGGCCTTTATACCCTGAGAGACTGTGTCTTCATTTTATACGATCTGCTAGTGGAGCAGAGGCCACCACAGGACCTCCTACCACATTTCTCCCATGGAGATCACTGAGCCAACATTACCAATGACGCTCTCATGAAGGTTCCTGAAATCCCCCTCCAGCTCTGCCCAGATCCATCCCCTGGAAGACATCAGAACTATCCTGAAGTGCATGTGCAGATCTGTCATGCTAAACCCCACCAGAGGGAACCTGTGTGCCAGGACAGAGGGAGGCAGGAGGCAGTGGGGGGAAGCAGGAGGGGGAATGAGGAGTGGGCTGCCCTGGGTGCATCTTCCCAGGCATTACAACACATGGGTATGTTTGATCAAAGACCCCTCACAGGGAAGGAGTGGTGACTTTTCCACACTTTCTCCAGCTAACAAGACAGGCAGTACTCAAGACTAAGGAATCTGTCTCTCGAATGAAAGAGGAGGGCAAAGCAAGGTAGAGAGATCCTACCTTGCTCGTCGAGGAGGATGTTGTCTGGCTTTACATCTCTGGGAAAAGGAACAAGGTTACAGCAAGATTAAATCTCAGATCAAGAATGCAACTCAGCAACAAAAAACCTGCAACTTTTTTATTCATCAAAAATAAGAACAAATAAACCAAAAATACCCTGACATGAGACAAGTCCATTTTATGGACTAGAAATAGCTTTTCCTGGGCAACTGGGCTAAAAAGTGGGAGCGTCCGACTCGTTCAGGCATAATTTCTAAGGAAAATTAATAACACAATACCAGGCCTATTTCTGTGAAGCTCTTGATTGCTTTGAAACCTGCCCTGGAAGGTCCCATCAGCTCCCAGGGAAGTGTCAGGCTGCCCCTGAGCATGGGGCAGCAGGACCCATGGTCTGGAGGATGCCCAGGACCAACACTGCCCTGGCCCTTTAGTGCCAGCAGGTCCCTGAGGCAGGGGCACCGGTGGCAGGAAGGGTAGTATGACCCACCTGGAAGCACCACGGGCAGCAGTTCAGGGGCAGCTCCTACAGGGTTACCTGTGGATGATGTGCTGGCTCCGGAGGTAGTCGAGAGCCAGGGCCATCTCACAGATGTACAGCTTGACCGTTTCCTCCGTGAACTGAACGTTTTGCTGCAGGTGGTAGCGCAGGTCGCCACCCAGAAGCAAGTCCACCACCATGAACATGTCCTCCTCGTCCTGGAAGGAGTACCTGTGGGTGCAGAGGAGGGTTAGGGAACAGCCTGGCTCTCACTGAGTGGCAAGACCAAGGCAGGCTCTGCCTCTCTCCTAATTACACTGCTCCAGAGACAACTGCAGACATCCCCGCTCCCAGCATCTGCCAGCTTTGCTGAGGTACCTTTTTAATTAGCTCTCTGGGTTTTTAACCTACTGCTGTCCCAAGCAATGCTTCCTTTGAAGAGGGAAGTACCCCCAGGAGCCCCCCTCACCCAGCCACCACTGCACCTGAGTGCTGCCAGGTGACCTCCCCAGCAGGCAGAGCCTCAGGCAGAGCTCAGGGCTTTGCTACCAGTCACTTCAGAGAAACTTTGCATTTTTAAATCATGACCAATCTGACAAACCTGTACTTAAAATAGCTCTGCTTGTCCCAAAAAAGAATCAGAAAACACAAGTGCTAATTTAACCATAAAGCCCAGAAAAAGCAATTTCTATTTAGTGTAGAGTAGAACGCCTCCCTAAATGTGCAGTGGATCCTGCAGGAGACTGACAGCAGCAAGGATACACTACAAACCAACACTCCATTGTTATATTTGGTGACAGCATTTCTGAGGAAAGAGGATGTGGGATTGTATAATACTTATGAATCACAGTCTCCTGCTCTCCCCTTAAATGTAGGCTTGTTCTGAAAACACGAGCTGACAGGGAAAAATCTGCTACAGGGGCAGGTTTTCTGAAGAATTGCATTAGTTGTTGAAAACAAAACCTGTAGTTGCCAAAATGCTGAAAAAAATAAATATTAACTTGTTTGGCTATTCTGAATCAATAAAGAGGATGTGAAGTATTAGCAACTCCCAGCGCTTTGGGTGTAAAACTGAATTGTGGAAATCCTCCCAGCCTACCAGGCTGCCCCGGGAGCCGGAGGGGCTGGGGGTGCCCCGGGCTCAGCCTGCCCAGCGAGAGCTCCCCCGGGAAACTGCTGCCTCGGGCCCCTGTCTGTCCTGGGGACATCAGGAAGCTGCACCCCAGGCACTGAGCCTCCCCTGGAAAACACCTCTGGAGGGCAAGGTAAGCCTTGTGATCCCCGAAGGCAGCTCCTGTGCCCTGCAGATGCACATCCCTGCACCCTCTACACAACCTGTCATGTTTGCTACCCGCTGCCTCCCACGGAAGCAGGATCTTGTGGTGCTCCTGCCCCAGCTCCCTCCAGCAGCCTGTGGTGTGCTGGGGAACTGGGGGTGAAGATGGGGGATCTCCAGATCCCTGCACAGGGGGGGAGGCAGGGAGAGGATGGAGCACCCAGGCCTGGCAGAGGGTCTGGGAGAGGGTCATGAGGCTGACTGCTGAGGACTCATCCCAAACCAAACAACAACCATTGGATATCGTGCACTATTTGTAAATTAATTTGTTGTCCGAAACTGGATGATGATACATCTGAGCTCTAAAGGAATCTTATTTTCTTTGGCCAGTGAACACGCTGGGAAGCACATTTTTGCCCTTAGTTGTTCTCCAGCAACAGGCAATGCACCTGACAACTTGAAGAGTTCTCATAACTTCTTCCCAGCAACTGGTCACTAAAAATAGTTACATTTAAAACTTCTCAACATTTAAATTTCTCACATGTGTGTGCAACAGACAAACCCATCCTTGCTACTGGGTAAGATTTCCATTGTGGCAGCTCACTGGGATGCTCCCAGGGATGTTTGTGACTCCTGAGGGGAGGAGATGCTCACCAGAGGTTGACCAGGAAGACGTGCTCGATCTCCTGCAGGATTTCCAGCTCCCTGAACACGTTGCGCACCTCGTCCCTCTCGATGCACTGCTGCTTGTTCATGTACTTCATGGCGTACATCTTCTCCGTGTCTCTCTTCTGCACAATGCACACCTGAAGCACCGCAGAGGGGGAGGGAAAGGAGAGGTTTATTACAATGTTCTCTGGGCTCTCGGGGGGCACCTCTCCCAGCCGTGCCCACCCTGCCCACACCCGCTGGCACCAGCCTCCGGCCGTGGGTCCACAGCTGCACAACGCTGTGCTCCAGGAGCTCAAAAGGATCCCAAGGGGTTTGGAAGAGAGTGATTCCAGGTTTCCAGCCAGCACTGCCCCTGCTGTGTCCCCCATAGCACTTCTGAGTGAGAGCCACACCTTAATTACCAAGGGAACTCTCATTAAAAGAGCTAGTTTGTTAGCAAGGTAACTATTTTTACATGAACTAGTGAAACTGCTACATCTGGTATAACTACATGTGTCCCCTTTTAATTATCAGACATGCCTATGTCTGTCTCTTTCAGCTTCCTACAGAGGGGTCACAGATCTCCCTGTAGTGTCTGAGCCAGCAGAGGAAAGATGCAACCTTGAAGACCCAGCAGTTAGAAAAACATTCCACTGTTACCAGTCTTAGCTGGAATGCACTGGTGCCAGTTAAAAGAAAGCTTGCTGAAGGGAAAAAAAAAAAAAATCAGTCAAAGGAAAACTGGCTTCATCCTGGCTCAAACCAGGACAACAATGCCCTAGATGTATGCACTTTGAACAAGAAATAACTTGGCATTTTGGCCATACAGCCCCGCTCCGGGGCAGAAGGGAGAGGCTGGTCAGGGGGTGCTGGTGCAGGGGAGGCTTGTCTGGGGGTGCTGGTGTGGAGCTGCAGGGGCTCCTTCAGGAGCAAGTCACACTAACAGCGTGTGGGAGCAAGAACAGGAGCTCCTGTGGGAACAGAAAACACCTCTGACAGGCGGGAGCCCCCGACTCTGCTGCGCTTTGAAAACCCTGCCCTTAAAAACCACTCGCAGGTGCTCCTGGCTCACAACATAATGTCATCAAGGACACACTGCAGCAGGTAGGTGACAAAACAGTAAGTGACTATCGTTAGCCTGATAAAAACACCCCAATTAGTGACACTCACTGGAATGAGGGGGACTGTGGTGCAGTGAGGGTGAGGACAGACAATGAGGTGAGGCGGAACTCTGGGCTCTCCTCACACCTCACAGGAAGGGCTCCCTGCTCGGGCAGCCTGGCCTGGGAAATCACCCCTGGGCCCACCTCACCTCACACCCTGCCCCTGAGCCCACCTCACACCCTGCCCCAAGGCAGCAGCTGGCACCGAGCGGGCTCAGCCCCCTGGCCACAGCTGAGAGCATCCCAGGACATGGGGTCACTGGTCCCCAACCCAACCATTGCTGCCAGCTGCCCACCCCTGCAGGAGCCAACCTAAAGCAGATTAAACTGGCCCTACATTTAATGAAGCAGGAAAAAACACATTTTATCAATTCTTTGAGCAGAAAAGACTCAACAATATCCCTTTAAAACACAGTCATTGCTACACAACTTTGCTATAAACAAGCCTTTGACTAACAGCCCTCCAGGCACTGAACGACTTCCTCTCCTGATGTCAGTTTATTTCCCATTATGGCTAGAAGCCCATTAATTTCTAAATTTATTTATCTTTTTTAGATTGTGACTTGCAATATCTTGAACAGGTATTGCTTTTATATTTACGTCATTCGCTTCTTGTTTCTCTGCAGGGAAAATGAAAACCTGGTATAATAAATGAGAAAATGATGAAAACTTCTTGTACTCTGTAATCATAATAAATAGTTTTCTGCAGTGGAACAGCATCACCTACATACAAAGCAATGCCAGTTTCAGGGACTCTGGAAATTTCTCTTCTCTTGTTTTCTGGAAAAAAACAACGTGGGTGTTGATGGAAACGTCCCTTTCCCAGCCAAGCCTCCCAAGAAGGCCAGGGTGACAGGGACAAGCAGGAGGTGGGGGTCCTGCACCCATGGGCATTGGGGCCAGTGTTGGTGCTGCCCTGGCCAGGCTTGGCTGCTCAGGTCCTGTGCTAGGGGCCAGAAGCCCTGGTAGACCCCCTGGCTACAGAAACACATCCCAAGCACAGACATGTCAGTGCCCCAACACGTATCTTTCCTTTTTTGTGCTTCTCCATTTCTGCATCTGTTCCTGGGGATGGAGTAAACATCTACTTGGGAACAAGTCAGAGTGGTTTTTAAAATTAATCTCCATCCATTTTTGAGCTGCTCAACAATGTGAAGCAACACAAGAAAGGAGAAAGAAGAGACCACTTTGTCCTCGTTCTGCATAATGCGTCGTCCCTCGCCACACAAAGGGAATTTTCAGTGGTTAAATACAGCCATTAGAAAAAATTGTATGTAATGCTGCCAGATCTGCAAAGCAGAAGGCAGGCATCAGCTGGCAGTGTATTGCTCAAGACATGGCACATAAAAGATTTAATAGAGCCCCAGATACCCTGAACATACAGCTGCTGCCAAGTGGTTCGTGTTCAGCTGCCTTCGCTGCCACAGCGCTGGAGGGACGGGGGCTCGGGAGCCCACATTGCCATTCAGGACATGAGAGGAGCATTGAACATCTCCCAGTTCCACCTCACAATATGGGGCCCTGGACAATGCCAATGCCTGTATTGTCACCATAGCTGGCAGCTTCTTCTCATCTCATCTGGGACAATCTCAGCCTTCACTCACCCAGCTATCACACTGATTCAGGAGGCACTAACAAGGTGAGACTGAAAAAGTAACCGGTGGGGAAAACTGAGTCTTGGCTTGGAAATACCTTTCTTTAAGGTAAGAGTGAGCATCTAAAAACACAGCACACAAACAGAAGTGTTCAGAGCTGCCTCAAAGAGGGGGACAAAGGCACCAGCTTTAATTTGAGAAGAACGAACAAAGAGCAGGCTCTGGAGCACCGCACTGAACAGCTGCCCTGGTGACAGCCTGGTGGTGGCTGCTGTCACCAGCTTCCAACTGAGCCAGGGGAGACATTAAGAATTTCAAATCTCAGGCTGCAGTTTAAGGTTTAGAAACCAAACCAACCAACCAAACCAAACAAATAATACTTGGATTAAATAAGTAGAACACATCTGAGGGACTCACACTTTTGACTATGTTGTCTTCTACTACCACCCCCACTGTGATTTCCAGGGTTGAACCTCGCTCTTTCAGTAGGAAGCATACACACCATTCACACTCTCACACAAGCCCTTAGGATAAACCTTATTCTCCATCACACCATGGAGTAATCACCAAAAGCTGAAGCAAAGTCCATAACATGTGAGGAATTATTTGGCTTCTTACTCCCCTGCATCACTCACTGATCTGCTGCTTACAAGAGTTATTTCTATTTTCTGCCCAGCAGTGGTGTAAATTGGCATGGAAATAGAGAGCTGCGATTTGGGTGTTTCCTGGTGTCCAGGGGATTCAGACATTATGTCCTTTTTGGAAGTTTATTTTGGTCTTGTTAATTTAGGGTACTTTCTCCAGCTGTCTCAATTTTTGCTGCTCTGTACATTTTCTAATCCAACTTGCTATCTCTTCACCTTTGCCTTTTCTACTTTAGAATCCAATAACTTTTTTCCTG